TAGTCGCATATTCCCCTCTCAAGTAGGATTGGTGGGGAGCGGTTAGCCTGGGTGATGCTGCAGACTAAGACCCAGTAGGCTAGCCCAAACCAGGTCCCAGCACCTGGTGGTGCACCCTAGCAGTGAAGCCTTCAGTAGGCTGACTTGGAGGGGTGGGCCCAGCAGAGGCTGCCCAGGTCTGTGTCTACCTAGTACACTGCAGTGGGTGGGAACACCTAGCTGGCAGATTCAAACAAACTGTAACCCACAAAGATAGAAACTGGGCCTCCTGTATACGTTTATATGGAAGGAACAAAACGTATGGGAAGAGGGCGCAACAAGAAAGTGTCCTCGGCCCCCAATCCTGAGAACACTGATCTAGGAAAGGTAAATGCAAAGGTAGAATGAGGACAGCAAACATGCAATATCAGACACAGCAACAATAGACATAAAGCGGTATTTTCTGGACCTCATAGATGAGTTCAAAAGTGAAGTATTTAACCAAGTAAAGCAAGATATAAATAGAATAATTTAAAAAAAATGCTAAACACTTCCTAAGAAAAAAACAGATGGTAGAATGGAAGAATAAAAAAGGGGGAGAATTGTTTGATGGAGAAAATAGAGAAAATATAGAATACATGAAGCCGGTTCAAAGAGATTACCAGGAAACTAAAAACTCTATTGAAAGCTGGCATAACAGCTTGAAAGAAACTAAGGATAGATTATCTGAACTGGAGGACAGGTTTGTAATGTAGGAACAGGAAAGGAAAAACTTCTGAAAAATAACAAGGAAACAAGCAGTAACAATACAAAGGCTAGAAGATGACAAGAGGATGTATAACTTAAGAATAAAGAATGTGAGTGAAGAAGCAGGGGTACAAACAAAGGAACTGCAAAGACTATTCACAGAAATAATCCAGGAGAACTTCCCTAATTTAGCAAAAGATAAAGATAGATGTATGAGGCATACAGGACCCAGCCACCTACAACCCAAACAGAACTACACCCAGGCATATAATAATCAAGATTCCAGAAATCCAATATAAGAACAGAATATTAAAAGCTGTCAGAGACAAGAAACAGGTCACTTACAAGGGAACACCCATTAGAATTTCAGCAGACTTCTCGGCACAAACCATCAAATCACAAAGAACGTGGGGAGAAATAATTCAAGCTTTGAAAGATAATAACCTCCAGCCAAGACTGATATATCCTGCACAACTGTCCCTAGAAATTAATGGAGAAACAAGGTGCTTCTAGGATAAAGAGGAACTAGGGGAACTTGCAACCAGCAATTCAACTCTACAGAGAATACTGCAGGACATTCTAAAAAAGAAAAATACCAAGATTCCAGAAACAGTGGCAGAGAGGCTACAATGAATGGAGCAGAAAGCAAAATGAAGAAGACAAACTGACAACTAATGACAGAAAAAGAGCTCAACAGAAATGAGGCAGAGAAGGTTGGATGGTAGGAACAGCTATTTAGGAGAAAACAAGACATCATAATAGCTAGTGCTGATTTAATATAATCTTGCTTTGAAGTCCCATCAAACTTTTGTTCTTCTGTCTCAATCGGTCTTAACATGTTGTATCTTATTGGATTTTATTATATGTGATAATACAAACAAAAACTTTTATAGACAAGGAGATTATACAGAAACCATTGTTCATTTTCTGTTAGTTGGTTCTAAATACCCTGTAATACTGTCATTCTCTTGAATGGCTTTACAATGTCTTGATATGTTTGATGCTACAGTATTCGAAGTTATACTCAAAGATTTCAAGGAAAGAGACACTATGGTAACTACTTTTATGTCGGGATATCTTATGGTGAAAAACTATTTCACTTAAATGGTTATGTTTTGACCTGTGCTGTTTTGTCGTTATGCCCTCTTTTATCTCAATCTGCTTTTTTAATTATTTACTTTTTTATTTTTATCTTTTTAATTAAGGGGAAAAATAAATACAAAATAGCAGGATATATAATAGTAACCAAAAAAACAAAAACAAAAACAAAAAAAAAACAAACCTACAAATGGCCCTTACCAAAGGGTTTAGAAAATGACCCATTCCCAGGCACTAATCATACCTACAGTGCACACTTGGCATAACTACTCTGGGTGATTCCTTTTTTTAAAAAAAGAGAGTAAAACTAAACAACAAAACAGAATAAAGTAGATCAGAAGAAAACAATATAAGTGACACAGATTTCAAAGCAATAATAGGATACCTACCATAGTTACCATAATGTCTTTTGTTTTCTTCCAAATAGTTATCCATATCTTCACACACAATTAATTCATACAAAACAAAATGGTATTAAACTGATCAGAACAGGGTGATGAAGGCATTACAGGCCTTCAAAACCAGACAACAGGAAAATCAACAATGGCTGCCGTAATGTCTCTTGTTCTCATTCAAATTAGCTGTCCATCCCTTTATGTATGTTGAAATTGAACAATACAAAACAGACTAAGACCACCCTGAACAAAGAATAACAGCATTGCTGGATTTCACAGCATGACGATACGGAATCCACAATGGATACCATAATGTCTCTTTTTCTTCAAAGTAGCTGTTCATTTCATCACGTATAATATAATCGATTCTCATTAACTGTGTAGGGCAAGTTCTACACATGTACAAGCCTCTACATGTATACCTATCTTTTCTGTATTAGAGTAAAACACAAAACAAAACAAATGACTAAAAAAACACAAAACAAAAGAGACAAATAAATAACAATAGCAAAGAGCCCAAAACAATGATGATATAGGCCTTCAAAACAAGTTGGTAGGAGCATAACTAGGGTTGTTATTTTACATAACGTTCTTTAAGGGTTCCTCAGATCACCAGACACTAATATGCAAATTGTTCCAATCCTATGAATGTTAGCTGTTTTGTTCCAAGAACTTGTGGAATTTGTAGCACAATCATCTTAGCTAGCCTAAGCGTGATTATACATTTTTTTTTTCTTTTTCTGGGGTGATTCTTTAATGTGGGAAGTTTTATAGCTTCCTAGTAATTCATCATGAAATCAAGATTAAGAATCCCCACCGTAATGGAAGACTTCATGACCCAAAAAGACCTGAACCCTGTGAGGAGAATCTTTCTAAGTCTCAGATGGAGGCAGCACCTTTGCTTGGAGAAATCCTTGACACGACACGTCCTTGGATTCAGTGTTCTCTGTATTCCCTTCTATCGCCACCAAATCCGGAAGTGGTCACCTCTGTCAACACAAATAGAAATCAGCATTTTAAAGCTACGTCAGTTGTTCTGCTTATTTGTACATGCCTACAGGAGCCCCGACACTTTAACATTAGTAATATATTAGGCTCCACCTTAAGCCAAACTCCAACACAGGTGAAATGAAAGGGAATTACCAAATTTTGGCCATTAATGCTTAATTATGCATTTCATTAAGTTCTACTTTAAGTGGTTGATTAGTAACAATTAGTCTTCTGTCTGCCCTAATTTATATGCACCTGTCTCCAATTACAGTGGCACTATGTCAGTCTCAAAAAAATACACCTCAAACTCTTTACAATAACTTGGATATTTCTGCCTACCCAAGGATATTTGTCTTGCCATTTAAGAGATAGTTCTTTATTTTATTTCAAATGCATTTTCTGTCACTGATTATCCAGCTTTGTGAAAGGCCACTCTTTAAAATGATGCGTAACGCATTAAAATGATGATGTCACTTCAAATTCTAGATCTAAAAAACACCAATATTCATCCAGAATTTCTTTCTAAAAATCACTGTTGACTTAAAAGATATGAACACAGAAAACCCTTCTAGTAGCTGTTCTTTGCAGATTGCTGACTTCTTTGCTTTATTCCTAGATTTAGAGAAGTACTGGGGGGTTTCCACACCCAGAGAAACTCGCTGTTGGAGTAGGAGAAATAATGCAGTGGTGGCACTTTCCCGAGCAGGTGTGAGGAAGGGGTAAAATCCCGTCTGGGATACAGAGGTCTAAACCAACAGCACTATTTTTCAAACGCAGGCCTCTCAGATTGGTTTCCCCAAACTTGCTTGTGGGAGGCCCTCTTGCTAGTCTCATATTTTCTGATGATCTCTTGCAAAACTCTCCATTTATGCCATATCATGCTCTTGATTTTACCCTTCCAAGACATTCCATTCTAGTTTTGGGTCTCTGCTGTTTATTTTCTTCCCTCTTTTGGAATGGACTTCTCTTGCCTTTGATGGATCCCATGCTTGTTCAAAGGCCAGTTCAAACCCTACCATTTCCAGGAGTTGCAACTCAGGAGAGCAGTCAGTCTTGATTTCCACGTCAGAGGATGTGGGCTTAGATCCTTTCTTTTGTGTTAGGTGACTGTGAGCTGGTTAGGTAGTCTTAATTCATCTGTGATGTGGGGGCAGGAGGCACATTAGCATAAAAGCATTCTGTGTTATTTTTAGGTGACGAGACTCTGTTACAGGTAGTAGAGGTCAGGAGACACTGTTTAGTGGGAGTGCAATTAAATTTAATAAAATGCAGGACTTGGTAAAGTGTTCCCTGTTGGGGACAGGGGACCAAGTACAATGCAAGTTGGTCATTACCACCCACCGAGGTTAGGCATTGCCACCTGTCCCATGGGAGGCCCATCTTGGGTGACTGCACAGTCTTTTCTCTTACTTATTTGAGGTAAACACTGGGAGGGAAGAGGTCCAGACCGGGATTGGGTGCACTGTTGAGCATGGATTACTTGCCGGGGTAATTAAGGTCTAAGTGCTGCAATTACAGAGATTAAAGGCTGCCTGCACCCCCAGCTTAGCATCAGCCCCTTCAGGAGCTGCTGAAGACCATGCTGGTACCGCCTTCTCAGAGGCTTCCAGCAGGACAGGACTGCTGCTTTAAATGCCAACAGCTGAGACAAGGGTGCTCCTGCGGGGAGCCCTGTCAAAGCGCCTGTGACCTTGTGGGTATAAAATCTCTATCTTTATCACTGTTGCTGTTTGGCAATTGTTAATGGTTCTTCCTAGGAATGAAGAAGATTCTTTTTCCTTTTCCTTGTAGTTGGCTGAGCAAAATATTGATTATACTCGCAGTTCCTTAAGGAGATCCTGGCTTTTATTACAAGTGTGCAAATAACAAGTTCACGGGCTACCACCCCCCACTTGAGGCTGCATCCAGACACCTCCAAGGCTTGGCTTTGCATGTGTTTTATCACCTGCCCCGGACACCTGGCCTCTCTGGCTCCCATTAGGAATCGCAGAAGGGTAGGTTGTCCAGAGGAACAGAAGCATAGAATATACGGTGTATAGAATTTCAAGAGCAGGTTTGTTAGATTGACTCACATGATGTGAGCAGCTGCTTGGTCCGCGAAGCTGGGAGTCATTGGACAAGAGAGGCCAAGGCCGCAGCTCCACTCTGAGGCTCATCAGTGACAGAGGCCCAAAACACCCCAGCTTCGACACGATGGGGAGCAGCTCCCACTACGTGCAGTTTCATTCTACTGGGCACAGCCACCGCATCCTGGCAGGTCTCCTCTTGCACAGGCTGCTACCCACTGTCACTGCACTCCGGCGACACCCTCGCAGACACATGCAAGAGTGGGGTCCCCCAAGCCGCCTGGCATCCCTCTGTCCCACAGCGGGCAAACAAATCAGCCACCACAGGCGCCGTGAGCAAGGCTGCTGGCTGTCAGCTTTGCCTCTTCCTCAGTGTGGTCTCGGCCCTGTGACGTAACCTCTGCAGCTCTGTTTTTCTCCCTGTAGCTCCGCATAGATCGCCTGAGAATTAAATGATATAATGCATGAACACTGCTTAGAAAAATGCCTCGCAGATAACGATAAATATTGTGTTGTTCCTTTTAGGAACTGTTAGGTCCGTATGGCACCTGGCTTTGAATCTCTGGGAAGCAGGTTTTAGTAGAATTGGAAACTTTGGCTTAGGGAGAATAAAATGCAGAAACAAAGTCAGAGCTAGTAGACGGGAGAACAGAATTCAAATGTGAATCTGTCTTAGCAACCTGTTCTCTTAGTCACCGTGCTCTGTTGCCCAGGAACTATTTGCAAATATTTCTTGACTGCATCCTATATGTCGATTGTGTATACTGTTCTATGTAGGACACGCTTCCCAACTGAAATGCAACAAGCGCCCCTCATCCCTGCCTGTCACTGAATTCTGAGTGTAAAGTTGTCATGTGCCAGTTCCTTTGTGCTGGACCTAAGTATTGATGCCCAAGAGGTTTCTTTACAATAATGTCACAGCCCTGCTCACAGGTTTCTATCTCTGTGTTTCCTGGAGATTAGAGCCAACAGAATAGGGAAGAAAATAGATTCTTTCTTCAGGTGCCTTTGGTGGGCGACTGATCTCCTGTTACTGTTTCTCTTCGGTTGCTCCTCTGCTTGGTTTACAATAGCAAACAGACAAAAGGGGCGGCAGAGTGTGAGCTCAGAGACGACGGTTAAGATTTACTGGGGTGGTCAGTGTAGTCTCCCTAGCTGTAAGCATTTCTGGATGTTGAACACTAGCACCACTGAATGTAGGAATAATGACCTGGTGCAGAAGCTCTTCATGCGAAGGCAGAAGTACCAGGTTTCAGTGAGCTCTGGAGTTCTCAGGGGACCTGGACCGCTGCTGCAGGATGGAGCTATTTTCATACATGACCATGCAGACCTGGGGCAGGATCCAATTTAGAAGAGAAGCAGATGGTTACTCAAATACGGAGCTTTTACTCTCCTGACTGTAAAGTGCATCTTTGTAATATATGGGTGGTTTCCTAGACAGCGTTCCAGAGTTAACCTGTTAACAGATCCCCCAAAGAGTTAAATGCTAGTGAATCCATTTTATCTAAAGATGTATTCTAAGCATTGAAATGAGAAGAAATGTAGAGAAGTCATTTTGTAGACATTATGATAAGTGTTTTGGAGTAGAAAAAACATTTGGACTTTGAGTGTAGGGTAACTATTTTAGGTATTTCTTTTTGGGTTTTAATCTGTGGCTACGCACTTAAGGAAGAAAGGAACTTTAGAGTTAAGCTTTGAAATTAAACATTAGAAGCCTTTTTTCCTCTTAATCCAAATTGTAACAAAATTTTACATTAAGCAGAATTTTTAAATGGTTGGAAAATGGGACTTTGGATTAAAAGAAAAAAGGAAGAAAAAGAGAAGAGTATTTTGGATAGATTATGGAGACACTTGTACTTTGGTTCAGTAATACTATTTTGGTCTAATGAGAATCAAAGGTGATTCTTGATACAGGTAATTTGGGGGTTAATCTGTCAGGAAATTGGTTTGAAAGTATATTGTATGCTTTAAAGCTGCTCAATGAATAAAAGTCTCATTTTGTGGTAAGGTTTTATGTTATGTGATATGTGATGCAGACTCTGACCTCAACTGTAACTATGATGGTAATGAATGGAAATAATACGTCCTTCAGTGAGTGAGTCTTTATTACAATCTTAGCATTTCTTACACTGTCTTCTAGGTGTTCGCGATACAGTAGTGAAGGAAGAGTTAAGTGTTCGCCCGCAAGGCTGTTTACAACCTGGAGGGCAGCGGTGGAGAATGAAAAGCAATCTCGGGCCTCTCGGAGGCTGCTCAGTGTTATGGGGAGAATAAAGAGGCATCAAGAGCGGGGTCGCAGGATTGCTCCAGGAAGATGAAGGTGAGCGGGAAGGCAGAGAGTCTGGTTGAGGTCAGCATGTTCGTCACGTATTTTATTTGATTTTTCTTGTTGGAAATACCTTTATTTCTCAGATGCTGAAACTAAGACCCAAGGAAATGCAGTGAGCTGCCCCCAGTCTCAGGGAGAGCACCTGTGCAGCTGAGAATCAAACCCGGGTCTTGTGGACCTCGCTCTTCTGTGCAGTTCTTGCTTTCTGTCTTCACCTGAGTGTCTAGTGAGTAGGATATTTTGGCACTTTTCAATATAAAAATATATTTACATACACTGTTATTTAATATTTCTAGTAAGACTAAGAAAATAGTACCATCAGATTAATTTTAAAAAGAGAATTTAGACTTAGGAGATAAAATTTCCTAAAATTAGTATGTAAGTCGTTGCCCTCCTTCGAGGGTCAGCGTGGGGCCTTGTGACTTCAGGGAAACAGCCTCTGAAGTCAAAGCCAGTGTTTGAGCCCCAGGCCCACCACCTAGTAGTTACCTGACTTTGGGAATTTAAGCACTCTAACTTCAGCTTTCTCCCCTGTAATGAAGGTAATAGTAATGCTTAACTCATTGTTAGTTCAAGTGAATCCGTACATCTAAAGCACTTAGCTCTGTTCCTGACACATAGTCAGTGCTGCGCAGAAGTCTGATGTTAATGTAATCTTTGAGAGATTAAAGTAACTGTAATTAGAAGTTGTGCATTTCCATGTAATTAAGAGCTAAATGATACAGTCTTCACAACTATGGTAGTGCAAGGGCAGAGGATGTGGATGGCCTTCGCATGAGCGTGGCTTCTAGCATCCAGGAAGATGGCCAGAGTTGCTGGAGGAAATCACTTCCCCCAGCTTTCCCCTTCGAGATTTCTGGTTTGCTTATCACTTGCTCCAAATCTTTAAAAACAAAGTCAATTATTCAAATTGACAAACACAAATTATGTATGTTTTGGGAACACAACATGATGTTTTGAAATTTGTATAACACTGTTGAAAAGCTAAGTTGAAATAACATATGACTTAGCCCATATACTCAGCTCAGTTTTGAGTGGAATTGTTTAAACGCTGTGTGGTCTTAGCAATTTTCAAGTACATAATGCATTGTTACAGTGTACAACAGATCTTTTGAACTATTTTCTCTTCTCCAACTGAAATTTTTGTATCCTTTGACCAGCATCTCCTAAATATTTACCCCCTACAACTTAATGACTGCTCTTGTGGCTTACTTCTATAAAGTAAGGTTTTACAAATCCCACGTATACATAAGGTCATTTGGCTTATTTCACTTAATATAATGTTATCCAGGTTCACTCACATTGCCATAAATGACAAAATTTCCTTCTTTTTAAAGGCTGAGTAGTATCATTGTGAAGGTATACCACATTTTCTTTATCCATTTATCAACTGATTGACCCTTAAGTTGATTTTCTATCTGGCTTATTGTGAATAATGGGAATTATGATGAATATGGGAGTGCAGAGATCTCACACTAGTTTTATTTTCTTTGCATAGATAGTCAGTAGTGGGGTTGTTGGGTATATGACAATTTTATTTTTAACATTTTGAGGAACCTCTATTGGGTTTCCCTTTATGTGTGTACTAATTTACATTTATGCCATCAGTGTAAAAGGGTTGTCTTTTCTCTGTAAGCATTCCAACATTTTCTATCTTTTACTGCTTGGTAATGGCTGGTCTAACATGGTAAGGTGATATCTCATTGTTATGTTAACCACCATTGTTATGTTAAGCTTTCAAGTCCAGCCCAGGCTTCAGGCCCAATACTGCAGACCATACACCTTGCGTGCCCATCTGCTGACCGAGGCTCAAGAATAGTCTTGAGGGAGGCTGGAGATTTAGCTCAGCAGCATAAGCGCCTGCCTTGTAAGCAGGCGGTTGTGAGTTCGATCCCTGGTACCGATAAAAAAAAAAAAAAAGAATAATCTTGAGGACTCCAGCAGAAAGCCAGCCCATCAACTAAACCAGAGGGTCTGCCCTAAACGTTCTGCTAACTGGCTAAGGATTCTTCCTGCTGAATCAATCTGTAAAGACTGAAAAAAGACTGGTATTTTTAAAAAGGTAGACACCGAAGCATGGCCACAAGGATAATGAACAATCAGGGAAGCATGACACCACCAAAAAAACAAACCAAACCAAACAACCACCCCAGCAAATGCTGGCCCTAAAGAAATAGAGATTTATGAACTTTCTCAACAAGACCTTCAAATAGATCATCTTAAAGAAGCTCAAGGAACTGCAAAAGACAGTAGATAGACAGCTAAATGAAACCATGAGCACAGTATACAAACAAAATTAGAATGTCAACAAAGAGAAGCCAGAAAAGAGAATCAAACAAAAATGCTGAAGCCACAGGAAACAATGACAGAACTAAAAAATGCCATAGAGAGTAGAAACAGCAGGTTTGCTCAAACAGATGAGTCGATTAGCTTAGGGGAGATCAGTTGGAAATCATCTTGCTAGAGAACAAAAAGAAAAATGGATAAAATGGTACAGAAAGATTAAAAGATTTCATCAAGCACCAATTCTCACCCAACACCTGTGGTAGCCACATTTTTTTTTTTTAATTTTAAAGAGGGTAAAATTGAACGCAACACAACAGAACAAAGCAGAACATAAGAAAGCAATGTAAGAGACATAAATTTCAAAGCAAGACAATCAGAGATCTTCACTATCTATCATATTGTCCATTTTCTTCCAAATAGTTGTCCATGTCTTCACATACAGAGAATTTACATGAAACAACGTAGTACAGAACTGATCTGAACAGGATGAGAAAGGCGTTTTAGGCCTTCAAGATCAGACAACAGAGAAGTCAACAATGGCTGTCACTGTCTCTCATTCTCTTGAAAATAGCTGTCCATACCTTCACATATGTTAAAGTTAAACAAAACAAAACAGGCTAAAATCATTCTGATCAAAGAATTAATACTATTGCTGGATTTCACGCCATGACACTACGGGATCAGCACTGGGTACTGTAGTGTCTCTTTTTCCCTCAGAGTGTCTGTTAATTTCATCATGCGTTATATGATCAGTTCTCATAAACTGTTTATGGGTTCTACACATGCATGAGTCTCAACATGTATTTCTATCCTTTCTATATTAGAATGAAAAAAAAGCAAAGTAAGACAAAACAAAACATATTCCTATAAAAACATGAAACAAAAAAGTCATATAAAACCACAGTACAAGGAGTTCTACAGTGGTTACTGTGTTGCCTCTTGTTATCTTCAATAGAATTGTCTATATCATCAGGCATAGTATAATTGTATATAGCAGTACATAACAATATTAATAAAAACAAAACATTGTATACAGTGTAAAACTTCAAAATCAGGTAATAATCAAACCAGAATGGGTATCCTAGTGAATCTTGTCATCTTTAGAGTAGTTGCCTATACTCTCAGATTTGATGCTATCAATCATAACAGATTTGAATAAAATCTGTCGATACAAAACAGCGATCTAACAAACCAGATTCAACTAAGATCAGTCATAGTAAAACAGTGTAAATTATACCAGGCTTCAGATTAATAGGAAATTAAGGATGATTACCATAACTATCACAAAAATAGCGATAGTTCTCTGTGCCATCAAATCTAGTACAACTAGACAAACCGGAACAGAATATAATCCATGTAAATAGAACGGTGTGAGTAATGTGGGTTTTAAATCCTGATACACTATTAGCAATATCCTCTGCCTTCTTCTTTTAGACTGTTCCTCCCCTTTCACTCCCACAGTGTGCACTGCACATTTTGGGCGCCACCAACTCCCTCTGTTTTTAGATTGAGGGGGGCCACCTGCTATTTCCTAATTGGTTCTGAACCTTCTTCCTCCTGGACTTGATCTCAAGTTGTATCCCTTTACCTACAAAAGGCTGTCTTTCTAACCTATTTTCAAGTGCTGGTCGAGTTGCCCCTATTTCTCTCTGGTTCCCTGTCACATAGAGCATTGTTTTCTCATATTTGATTTTCGGTCCATAACCCTCTTTCGGGTTAATTATATTCCCTATACAGAGCATCTTGGTGGACCCCACCTCCTGATCTACTCTGTCTGTGTTTCTTATTGTTAATGTACCAAGAACATCTATATTAGAGATTACAGCCAACCTCCTCTGCCTCATTTCTGCTATGCTCTTTTTCTACCATTAGTCGTCTGCTTTTCTCCTTCATTCCACTTTCTGCTCCATTCATTGAGCCTCTCTGCCACTGAATAGCCACAGTCTTAAATAGTGACTCTGATTTTTTTTATTTTTCAAAAAAATGCTCCTCAGTAAAAGCTTGTTGCCAAGACAGTTGTGAGTCAGGTTAAGTAAGCCCGTGAGAAAGACCTTTCAGAGAAACACTAGATGTGTTTAAAGGTGCCCATTGTCTCTATTCCTCCCCTTCCACGGATTTCCAGGCTGGTAAATTTAAGCGTAATTTTGGTGTCTATTTTTTCAGGCTTCTGTAGCGCTCACGAGGGGAAGAGGGGAACAAGGCAACTTAGAACATGACCCAGCTCTGGGTTCCTACTGAGATTCAGTATTTTTCATCTCTGCGGTCTCTTTTTATATTTCTGCAAAACTTCAGAGATCTAAAAAATCTGTTCTGGTACGTTTTTTCAATGCCTTTGTTGTTTTAATAGAAAAATAGAGCGTTGAGAGTTCTTACTCTGGTATTTCACCTACTCACTGGTACTACTGACTGACGTAACCACAATAATACTGTGGGAGTGGACAGTGGGCTTTGGGTGAATTCGCAGTGCAGCTGAGGGAGCAGGTGCGTGCATCTCAGCTGAGCGGCTCCTTGCGGTGAGCATCTGGGGTGCTGTGGAAGCAGATGCAACACCAAGTGTGGGTAAATCAAAAGCAAAACAGAAATAGATAATAGGAAACAGGGAGGTGGCTCTTCTGTAGAAGAGAAGGGGACCGGGAGAAGGAGAAAGGAGGGAAGAGGACGTGGATAGGACCAAGATGTGCTGTGTGCACGAACCAGCTCCCCAGCAGGAACACAGCCATCATGTCCTGCAAACAGGTGCCAACCAAATAAAAGCTGAAAAGAAAAGCACTTACAAAATCTCCTGGTGGTTTAGGTCAGTGCAAAGGCCTTGGGTTCAATTTCCAATGCATCAAAAGACAAAAGCAAGCAAGCAAACAAACAAACAAACAAACAAACCAAAACCAAAACCAAACAGACAAAACAAAACAAATAAACAAAATAAAAAATAAACAAAATAAA